ACAGAGAAGCCTATTCTCTGGATTCCAGGGGTTCTGCATGGACACCATCCAGCCTAGAAGGACAGGTGCATGGAATTTTGACTCAGGCTCTCACATAGAAAGATCCACTCAACCCCAAGTTCTCTCTTTGATATAATGGAAAGTTTATTTCTTGGAGTTAGAGGATACTGGCTAAATATTGTCTTTTCCATTTACTTACTATGTGATTTCAGAAAAAAAATAATAACCTCCTTAGACTTCAGTTTCTTTATAAAATCATGGAGTTGGGTTAGATAGCTTCTGAGGTCCCTTCTAGCTCTAAATCTATGACCTGGTCCAAATCTTTTTGCTATCTGTGTGACTTGAGAAATCACTTAGCTTCTCCGGACCTCAGTTTCCTCCTCTATAAAATCAGAGATTTGGACTAAATATCCTCTGAGGTCACTTACAACTCTAAATCTGAGCATTTTTCAGGGTAAGTGCAATTGAGACTTAGGTCAGGCTTCATTATTCTCTTTCATAAGTGTCCACAGATTTCTAAAACAAAGAAGACAGAATTTAGAAAAGAATAGATGAAAAGGGGATAAAGAAGCCTAGTGATATAATGTGCATTTCCACATCTGTTTAATTCTTCTCTTTTCCACATTAAAAGTCTTCTCATCTCCCTCAATATAAACCCCAGGGACCTCCCAAAGCATTTTTCAGGTCTCCAGCCAGGACTGAGAATGCTGGATTCCAGCAGGACTGGAGAAAGCTCCAGGTTGTTTTGATAAACTGAGAGAGTTAACTCTATGGCATGGCTTTTGCTAATTTTCTCCTCTCTCTCTCTCTCTCTCTCTCTCTCTTCTATGGTCCTTAAGTACCCAAGGATGGACTGCCTGAGCATCAGAATAGGGACAGGAAAAGACCAAGACTGAATTTCTCTAAGGTACCACCTTAATGCTACTTCTTGGAGAAACCTAGAGCTTGATACTACTTTGGGGTCCTGGTGGGCCTGGTGATACCCAGAAAGTCAGTAATACTGCTTGAGTTGGTGAGCGGATCATTGTTACCACTATCACTACCACAGTAGCTAAGTGAAACAATATAGATCATTTAGGCCAACCTCTTTAATGAAAAAAATGATGAAATGGAGACCTGGAAAGATTAAGGGATTTGTCCAAGGTCACCCAGGCAGCAAGCGGTAAAGCTAAGATTGGAACCCAGGTCTCTTGATTGCGACTAGGTCTGTGGATTGGTAGGATGAATCAAGCTTTATGTCAGTATGTTAATCAGTTAGTGGTTACCACTTAGTATGTACCTTGTGCCTAGTCATGTGCTTCTTAGTACAACTGCTACTGTACCATCTATCAAGTGCCCCAGAGGACACTTTCCATTGTAGGGTGTAACAGAACACTAGCCAAAGAGATCTAGGTGTCAGAGTGTGAGAGAATATAGAGAAGAAAAACATCACTTACTAAGCCTTAATCACTGAATGGGCACTGCCTTGGTCAAACTGAGACCTGTTAAAGACAGAAAGAAAGACAGAAAGAAAAGAAAGGAAGAAAGAAAAAGTGAGAAAGAGAGAAAGAATGTAAAAAAGAAGGAAGGAAGGAAGGAAGGAAGGAAGGAAGGAAGGAAGGAAGGAAGGAAGGAAGGAAGGAAGGAAGGAAGGAAGGAGGGAGGGAGGGAGGGAAGGAGGGAAGGAAGGAAGGAGGGAAGGAGGGAGGGAGGGAGGGAGGAAAGGAGAGAAGGAAGGAAGGAAGGAAGGAAGGAAGGAAGGAAGGAAGGAAGGAAGGAAGGAAGGAAGGAAGGAAAAACAAACAGCAGCAGTGACCCAGAAGGAATCCAGAGACTCATATCTCACACATCTTTTCTACTTTTCTTATATGGTTTCTCCTCCTCCTCCCTCCTTTATACTCTCCTTTCCTTACTCTATCCTCTCCTTCACCTCCTTTCATGTTCTCTCCCATCCCACTCCTTTTGTGTCCCCTACATCTGCGGCACCCTCTTTTCACTTCTCCCTACTTTCCTCTTCTATCATCAATTACCCTTTGCCCCTCTCTTCATCAACCTCTTTCCATTCCCTTTTCCGCTTCATCAACCATCCAGTCAGCCATCCAGTCAATCAGCTACTCAGCCAACCTATGTGTGTTTCAGTGAAATTAGTGAATGTGTCCATACATCAGATTCCTTTCCTTATCATGACATTCTGTCAGTAGGACATTCAACGATATTTCTCATTCATTGTTGTTGTTGTTCAGTCATTTCAGTCATGTTCAACTCTTTGTGACTCCATTTGGGGTTTTCTTGGCAAAGATACTGGAGTGTTTTGCCATTTCCTTTTCCAGATTACTTTACAGATAAGGAGACTGAGGCAAATAGGATTACCTGGCTAGCCCAGAGTCACACAGCTAATAAGTGTCTGAGAGCAAATTTGAACTGAGGTCTTCCTGACTCCAGGCCCAGTGCTCTATCCATTGTGCCACCTAGCCGCCTTCAATAACACTTACTGAGTAGTAAGTAATCTTCTTCCTCTCTATATCCCCAACACAGTACACACTAAGCCTCCCCTGAGCTCTCCCCATCTTATAAAAAAACAGTATCTTTGTTTTCCACATCCCACCCCTAAAAGATTGCTTTGATATAGCGATCCATAAAGATTTTTTTTAAATTGTGAATTTAGCATATCCTAGAAATGTCAATAGCCAATGATCGCATATACACATTGCCACCTATGATCACACATCTTGACTCTATATGCTATGTATGTTCATGTACATATCCATAACATTGTCTAGCATTGTCTTGTGAATGTTTCTTCAGCTTGTGAAACTCCAGTGTTTGTGGTTACCAATTTTTATGACACATACGTAAATATGGATATGGATATATACATGTATGCATATGATATATGATACATATGTGTATGTATATATATACATATATACACACATATATATGTAGGAATCAGCAGGGCATAGTGCATAGAGAGACAGCCTTAAAATCAGTAAAATCTGGGTTTAAGTCCCACCTTTGATATATATTTACTGGGTGATCCTAACAAAGTCACTTAGCCTCTCAATGCCCATAGGCAACTCTCTAAGACCATTTCAGAACAGTTGCCAATCTTTGTAAGTGAACAAAGTTTCTTTGCTGGGAGCTCTACACACCAATAAACTCTCAAATCTGATTGTGTATGTATGTATATGTACATGTGCATATACATATATATGTGTGTATGTACATACCCCTCACTCATGAATATACTTACACACATCTATACACACTCATATGTGTGTGTGTGTGTGTGTGTGTAATTTTGATACAAACCTGTGATTTCAACTGCATAGGATATGTCCTCCATTGTTCTGGAGCCTAGAATCTAAAATCTTAGAATTGCCTGGGAGCACTTGAGTTGTAATAGGGAGTTACTTGACTTGTCCAGAGTCACACAGTAAATATGTGGTAAGATAGAACTTGAACTCAGGTCTTCCTGACTCTAATACTGGCTCTCTATCCACTACATCATGCTAGGATGTGAGGGGGGTATGTGAGGGAGGGAGAGAGACAGACAGACAGACAGAGATAGACAAAGACAGAGAGGGATAGAGAACAGCATAAGAGAGACAGAGAAGGAGTATGTAAACACAAGCATACCCATGCACACATACACTTGCAATGCCTGCTTATGGCTTATGGGTACAAGGACTCAGGAGCTGACTCCATCCTGCTGTCACTTTCTTCAAACAGGTCCTGTTACCTCCTGTTACCAGTAACTTTAATCACTCTTCTCTTTTAGGTTCTCATTATCTATGAACTCTTAGCACATGGTTCAAATGAACATTAGTACAGAATCTTTTTCTGCTTTATTAGGTTAAGAAATAGTTTAGTTTATAAGAAAGAAAAGCTATTTCTCTTTACTGAGTATGTAAGCTTTCTTCAAGAGATAACAAGTTTCTTCAAGAGATATGAGATGGAATTTGCCAGAGTTCCAAAGGCTAGAGTTCCAAACAGAAGCATTTTTGGTAAAAAGACTTCACAATGTCCCAGACAAATATAGACAGGCTGGAAAGGTCAGTCTTTTCTGGACCTCTGCCTTTCTTAAGGTGAGGCTGCTGACAGAAGAAGACTTTCTGTAATTTCTGTCATCCTCCATATTAGCCAATAACACCATGATGGATTCAGTTCCACATCCCAGGACACAGCAGTGTAATGTAGAAAGACACTACTTTCAGTGACAAGTGTGCAAAGATGTATTAGGGTATCCAGGCACCAAATGAGTTCTTCTGGAAAGACTTGACCATTGAGCTAATGTGCTGTGAAAGTTGGATTAAGACCCAGTCACAAGCCCAGTGACACATGGTTAGTATGTGTCAGAAGTGGGATTTGAACCTATATCTCCTTTGATCCAAGACCTGCTCTCTATCTACTACCTCATGTATCACCTCAACTAATACAACAGGGTTGCTATGAGGCTCAAATGAAATAATACATGTGAAGTGCTTTTCAGATTTTAAAGTGCTATCTACAAATAAGTTCTTAAATGGGGAGCAAAGAGCTGAGGCCACAGGGAGACAGCAAAAATTTTCTAACCCTTAAAGCTTTCAGAAATGGAATAGAATAAATATCTTCCTCGGGAGATAGCATATTCTCCATCACTAACTTATTATGTGAACAAAGGGAAAGTGACTGAGATGCATAGTGTCTGAAGACCGATCTCAAATGGAGGCCAGATGACCACTGAGCAGAGATGTTGTGAATCAGATCCCTGTTCAGACATAAGTTGAACTAGATGACTTCTGTCCTCCCAATTAGTTCTAAAATCATATTATTCTATGCATCTATTTCCTATCCCTCAGGCTTTCTGGAGAAGAGACAAACTTTTCCCTTCCTTGCTATCTCTGAATTGGCACTGGGAAAATGGACATCATTTAAATAAGTAACCAGGTCCTTTGCTTCAGGAAACTCCAAGGCTTGAGAAGCAAAAGTCACAGCCTCCAGAAGGGGGTCTTTTCTACCTGTAAAGACCCTTTCCCAACATGTGGTCCAACTGCAGCAGCACAGCCCCCTTCTTGCTGACTGGCTTTCCAGGCATGGAAGCAGCTCACCACTGGATCTCCATCCCCTTCTTTGCAGTGTATGTTTCTATTATTTTTGGCAATGGCACTCTCCTCTTCCTCATAAAGAATGACCACAGCCTCCATGAGCCCATGTACTATTTCCTAGCCCTGCTGGCAGCCACAGATCTTGGAGTGACCTTAACCACAATGCCCACTGTTCTGGGGGTCCTATGGCTGGATCAGAGAGAGATTGGCCATGGCATCTGCTTCTCCCAGGCCTACTTCATCCACACACTCTCTATAGTGGAGTCAGGTGTCTTGCTTGCCATGGCCTATGACCGTTTCATTGCCATTCGCAACCCACTGAGATACCCTGCTATCCTCACCAGTTCCCAGGTGATGAAGATTGGGATTGGGGTGATGATGAGGGCTGCTTTGTCTATCATGCCCATAATTGTGAGACTTTATTGGCTCCCTTACTGTCATTCTCACGTCCTCTCCCATGCCTTCTGCCTCCACCAGGACGTCATCAAATTGGCTTGTGCCAACATTACCTTCAATCGCCTCTATCCTGTTGTAGTTGTATTTGCAATGGTTCTAATGGACTTCTTGATCATTGTCTTCTCTTATGTTCTGATACTTAAGACAGTCATGGGTATTGCCTCTGGGGAGGAACGGGCCAAGGCCCTCAACACCTGTGTGTCCCACATCTGCTGCATTCTTGTCTTCTATGTCACCGTGGTTGGGCTGACTTTCATCCATCGATTTGGGAAACATGCACCACATGTGGTCCACATCACAATGAGCTATATCTACTTCCTTTTCCCCCCATTAATGAACCCAGTTATCTATAGTGTCAAGACTAAGCAAATACAGAATGGTTTTCTTCGCATCTTGTCTCATCACATAACTGGACTGTGACCCCTCTTTAGATAAAAGCTATGAAAGCCTGAGATACGGGTTTGCAGAGATGAGTTTGGGGGCACACGTAATTCTAATATAATAACAATGGAAACTATATGGAAGTAACGGTTTTATATGATTGTATGATGAAAGGATATATAAGGAAGAGTTGTCCATTCAAACAAGTTGATCCTAAAGAAAAAAAGGTAATAGATGTAAGATCAAACCTGACATCATCAAGAGAAAGGAGTCTCAGGGAACCCAAAGAAAAATGCACAGGGCTGTTTCCAAAGACACAAAGGGAGGCATACTTTCAAGGGATAGCTTCCTAGGAATAGCATGTTAGATTCAGGATCAGAAGAAGGTTAGGAAGAAAAAGAAAAGTCCTTGCTTCAGTTGTGACGTACATTATTTGAACATGCAGAAGGGGTATTAAATGACAAGGTTTGGGAAATTTTCCCCAAAATATCACTTTTGGAGACCTGAGAGTAGAAGGACCATGTGTTGTACTGAAGACTTCATGTTATTTGCAAATGGAATGGTTGAACAGGTGGTAAATCCTGGTGTGACATTTTTAATTGCTTTTATATTTTTTTTTTGGTCCAGTGGAAAAAAGCATTGGATTTGAAGTCCAAAGACCTGGGTTCAAATTCCAACAAATAATGACTTGTATGACCCTCAGCAAGTCATTTAACCTCTGGGTCTCAAAGTGAAGTGTGGACTAAATGCTCATTAAGGTTCCTTCTAGGTCTACTCTATTGTACTAAATATTTTAAGGGTTGTTACACAAAACCTAGATTAGACTTGTGTTGCTTGGCTCCAGAAGTTAGAACTAGGAATAATTTATGGACTTTGAGGAAGGTATATTTGAGGTCAAAAAAAAGAAACAATTTCTTAATAATTAGAATTGTTTAAAAAAATATATAACTAGATTCCTCAGAAGATATTAACTTATCCACACTAGAATTCTTCAATCAGAAGGTAGGTGATCACTTGTCTATAATGCCGATAACTTTGAAATTCACCAATTCTATGATACAAGCCCACTGTTTCTTCTCATCTTCATGGAAGATTCTTATCAATATAGCCTCAATTTGTGTTTCAGTTAAAAGTTGCTATGCGAAAACAAGCATGTATTGGACACTATTCCTACTCCTGGATTTTGCAATATGATCAAACTGAACTTGTCTGTATTCTCACACATAGCACTTCATCTCCCATCTCCAAGTTTTTGCACTGGTCAGCCCCCATGCCTGGAGTGCTTCAAGATGCAGTTTAGGCACCATTTTCTGCATAAAGCCTTTCTGATCCCCTCAACTGCTAAAGTCTTCCTTCCCAAACTAATTTGTATTGAAATGCTTTGTATATGTTTGTATTTGTTGACTTCATAGTAGTATCATATATATTTTTATGTGTAATTCTTATCTCCCCTAATGGAATATAAATTTGGTGTGAGTAAAGATTGCTTCAGCCTTTGTCCTTGTATCTTCAGTGCCTTCCATAAAGTCTGGCACAAAATAAGCATTTCATAAATGTTTATTGGCTTATTAAATGATTTCATTGTAAGATACAGCTCAATTGGATCATCTCGAGTGTATTTGGAGATGAAATTAGGACAATAAACAGAAATGAAGTCGTACATGTCTGCTAACTTTTTATTACAATTTATTTTCATAAGTAACAGTAGTGTAAATACCATATTTGGCCTCTACCACATACAGACTAGATTTCCCTTCAGGCTCCTTATCTTCTTCACACACTTGACTACCAGTTCTCTTAGTCGTCAAACTATTAATAATGTTTTTCCTAAGTTTCGTCTTCTCCAGGCTAAATAGCCCTGGTTCCTTCAACTATTAGCATACAGTCTGCAGTCCTCTGAGTGTTCTACTCCCCCCCTCCTCTAGACACACTAGTTTTGCAAATTACCTTTATGCAATTGATACCCAGCATTGAATGAAGTACTTCAGATGGAATTGAACCATGGACAGGGTCAATGCCATAGCCCTTCTGCTATAGACCATCTCTATAAATTCATATCATTCCCTTCTCAAGAAACTTCCACAGTTTCTTATTGCCCACAGGATAAAAACCAAACTCCTTCGGTGTTTAAAGTACTTCACCATCAAGCTGCAGACTGATTGCACTTTCCCCTTCTGAATTCTACTTCTAAGCAAACTGGCCTCCTTCACATTCCCTGATCCTGACATTCATTCACCCACATGTATGCCTTTGCAAAGTCAATCTCCAGACTGGAAATGTTCTCCTATTTGACCTAGACCTTTTGGACTCCCTAGTTCCCATCAAGGCCAAATTCAAGAGCTCGCTTACTACAAGAGGCCTTTTCTGATTACCCAAGTTGCTAGTAGACTCTCAAATCACTTTGCTTTTATTTTTTACATATTCCATATGTATTTATTTCTATATAGTTCTATTTCACCACAGTAGAATTTAAGCTTCTTGCAGACATTCATTTTTGTCTTTGTAACTCCAGATCCCAGCAAATGTCTACTCTAGCACATCCCAAGTCCTTAATAAATGCTTGCTAAACTGAATTGAATCTTCCAGGACATAAAGTCCTTGAGAACAGGGACTGTTTTTCATTTTGCCTCTGTCTCCTCATGGCCTAGCATAGCAAAATACTTATGTCATAGGTGCAAAGTATGTTTTTGTTTAATTAAAATGAATCAATAGAAATCCTGGGGCCAGGACTCCCCATTTTTAAGAACAGCTTTTAACTTCACTCACTGTTTCTTTGCTTATCTTACTTTGACCATTGGTAGCAAAGACTGTCTGCTCTGCATTAACTATTTAGATCATCTAATCTGGTTCGAGCATAGCTATTCGCAGACCATTCCTGACTTGCTGGCCTCAGAGTGTAAGTTTTACCCCAGGCTTGCCTGAGTGCTTTCCTTTCCTCTCCCTCTATGCTCTCTCTCTCTTGGTAACCTTATCCACCCACATAACTTCAATTGTCGTTGCTATGCTGTTAAATTCCAAATATGCATCTCTATTCCAGACTTCTCTCTTCAGTGCTCATACAACTTTTCTAATTATCTTTAAAAGTGGAACAAACAACTGGATGATACAGTGGATAAAGTACTTGGTCTGGAGTCAGAAAGACATGAGTTCAAATCTGGCCTCAGACACTTACTAGCTGTGTGATCCAGGACAAGTCACTTAGACTCTGTCTGATGCAGTTTCCTCAAATGGGAAATGAGGATAATAGTAGTACCTATCTCAGAGGATTATTGTGAAGATTAAATGAGAAAAGACAGGATAGGAGATGTAACCAAACAACAATTTGTGTGATATAGACCTGATTTTTTTTAATAGATTGAATGCTCAATGAATCAAAACTTTAATATAGCAAGCAAACCTACCCCCCAAAAAAACCTCAAAAACTCAAAACCTAATACAATCTTAAATTGAATTAACAAACTTGGTTGCATTAACTATTAATTTCAATGAATTAACAATGTAACAACAGTCCCCACCCAAAACTAAAATGATCTTATATTGCATTAATTAGTCAATTAATTAAGTTGTAAGTGGCCCAGAACAAGGAGAACAACAGTCCCACCATGCTTTGCTCTCATTAGACCACATATGAAATTTTATATTTTGTTCTGGGAGTCACATTTTAAGAAGACAATTGACAAGCTGAAATGTACATACAAGAAGGCAACCAGGGGAATAAACGAGTTTAAAAAAAAAACTTGCTACACAAGAATTGGCTGAAGAAAGAATGTTTAATCTGGAGAGTAAAGTCTTAAAGGCAAATAGCTTAGCTATCTTTAAATATCTAAAGAGTTGCCCTGTGGAAGAGGCATTAGAGTTGAGTTCCTGTTGGCAATGTTAAAGAAACATGTGATCATACTTCTGCATCAGATTCTTAGAACACAGTGTTACTGATTAGAAGAATAACTGCATACCAGGGGGAAAAAAAAGATTAAATGAGATAATATTTATGAAGTATTTAGCACAGCACTTGGTACAACAGAAAGTGCTTGTCCTTCCAATTCATTCTGCTGCCCAGGGCACAGCATACCCTCAAAAGGAAGGAAGCAACTACGAGTAGGTGCTTAATAAATGCTTACTTACTTCCTTTCTGTCCTTCTTATAAAACAGAATGAATGTAAATAACACTTGTTTCTGTTTAGGCCAGAAACCCTGAGGGTCTTCTCCTCCCAGATCTTTTTTTTTTTTTAAGAGGCCATTCTTTGCCTTATTTCTTCTTAAAGCCTTAATCACTGAATGGGCTCTGCCTCAGTTACTGAGACTTGTTAAAGACCTTAGCTTGAAAAGGCCAAGGTCCCCCTTGCATCCTGGGCCATCTCCAGTTGTCCTGATCTATATCTGGCCACTGGACCCACATGGCTCTGGAGGAGAAAGTGAGGCTGCTGATTTTGCACAGCCCTCTCTCACTTAAATCCAATTAACTTGCATATCATGTCATCATCTCCCTGATCCTCTTAGAGAATGAAAGACAAACAGCAGCAACCCATATGCCCCCTAGACTCCAAATTCCTTATATCTAAAAAGATTTCATCACCCCCTCCAAAATGAATCAATGAATGAATGAAAGAATGAATGAATGACCCTGCCATTTTTCTTGCTACCCATCTATTGCTAGTATCACCAATCTCATAGTCCCCCAGGATCTAACCCTTATAGTTCTCGACTCCTTCCCCACATCTAATCAATTACCAAAACCAGTCATTTCTACTGCTACAATATTTCTTGCACACACCTTCTCTCCAGTCAATCTTTCACCACCCTAATTCAAGCCATTGACTCCTCTAGAAATGAAAGCAGCAAGGGGTCTCACCAAGGCAGAGTACAGTAGACCTACCAGCAGCTTTGTTTTGATTGTTTTCTTTGAGTCTCTGAGTGGGTAGGGTTAAGAAAGCAACTGGTAAGAGATGAGAGGTTAGGTGGAAGCCAAACCAATAAAAAAAAATGAATATAGTAGTTCCAGAAAGGGAGAAATATTTATTACAGGCCTGAAAATGTGCCCC